GCACCACATCTTGAAGAACAACAGTTACAAAGGTGAGTAACCATCTTTTCTTCTTCGAGTTCTTGCTCATATCGATTCCAATTAGGTGACCCAAGCCTTACCTAGGCGGTGGGGTCGGTGTGAAGTACCGTGGATTGTAGGATCACCCTACCAAATACTGCATCATCTCTGGCCTAATGATGGCATAGTGTGAGGCGAACGTATGCACTGAAGACCAAGTAGCAGCTCTGCAGATCTCCTGGATTGGCACCTGGGCCAGGAAGGCTGCCGACGAGGCTTGAGCCCTCGTGGAGTGAGCAGTTAGCTGGGGGGTCGGGATCCCGGCCAGATCATAGCAAGCATGAATACATGATGTGATCCAAGAAGAGATCCGCTGGGAGGAGACCGGAAGACCCTTCATCCAGTCTGCTACTGCGACGAAGAGCTGCATCGTTTTCCGGAACAGTTTCGTACATTCAGTGTAGAAGGCAAGAGCCCTACAAACATTGAGGGAGTAAAGCCGTTGTTCCTGACTATTGGCATGAGGTTTTGGGAAGAAAACTGGAAGGAAGATGTCCTGGTTGATATGAAAAGTCGATACCACCTTGGGAAGAAAGGCAGGGTGAGGTCGTAGCTGCACCTTATCCTTATGGAAGATCATGTAAGGTGGTTCCGATGTAAGAGCTTTGAGCTCAGAGACACGCCTCGCCGAAGTGATAGCAACAAGGAAAGCTGTTTTCCAAGAGAGGTACAACAGGGAACATGTGGCCAAAGGTTTAAACGGGGGTCCCATAAGTCTGGAGAGGACCAAGTTGAGGTCCCACGTGGGTACAGGCTGTTGTACCTGTGGATATAGACGGTCCAGGCCCTTGAAGAACCTACCAACCATGGGGTTGGCGAAGACAGATCGGCCATTCACTCCCGGGTGGAAAACTGAGATGGCCACCAGGTGAACTCTGATGGATGGTATCGCCAAGCCCTGCTATTTCAGGTCCAGAAGATAGTCTAGAATGAGAGGCACGGACGCTTGGAGGGGAAGCATGTCGTGGAGAGAGCACCAGCATGAGAATCGCTTCTATTTAGCCATATACGTAGCCCGAGTGGAAGGTTTCCTGCTGCCCAACAGGATCTGCTGCACCAAACGAGAACAGAGAAGTTCAGAGTGGCTCAGCCATGCAGCATCTACGCTGTGAGGTGGAGGGACTGCAGGTTGGGGTGACTGAGGCGGACGCGATCTTGCGCGATCAGGTCCAGAAAGAGAGGCAGCAGAATCAGGGCGTCCACCGAGATCTCTAACAGTGTGGTGTACCAGTGCTGCCTGGGCAACGCTGGGGCAACCAGAATCAGTCGTGATCTGTCCCTGCGCGCCTTGATCAGGACCTTGTGTACAAGGGGAAATGGTGGGAAGGCATACAACAACCTGCTCATCCACGGGAGTAGGAAGGCGTCTGGGAGAGAGCCCGGGGAGCGGCCCTGGAGACGCCGGGCACTTCCGGTTGCTGCGCGAGGCAAACAGGTTGACCTGGGGAAACCCCCACTTTAGGAAGATGGAGTAGATGACATCTGGGTGGAACGACCACTCATGGGATTGGAAGGACCTGCTGAGGTGGTCCGCCAACGTGTTCTGGACCCCTGGGAGAAACGACGCCACCAGGTGAATGGAATGGGCTATGCAGAACTCCCAGAGTTGAATGGCCGCTTGACAGAGGGGGGAGGAACGAGCCCCCCCTTGCTTGTTGATATAGAACATAGCCGTGGTGTTGTCTGTGAGGACCGCCACACAACGACCATGCAATCGCTCCTGAAAGGCTTGGCACGCAAGACGCACCACCATCAGTTCCCGTACGTTGATATGGAGAGAGATCGGACAGATGTCCCCGAGGTGAGCGCCCCATCCCAGGGCTGACATGTCCGTGATGAGGGACAAGGAGGGCTGAGGGGTGTGGAAGGGGACTCCTTCACATGCCACCCTTGGGTCTAGCCACCATTGGAGGGAGGCCAGGACCCCTTCTGGAACAATGACCACCAGGTTCAGGCTGTCTTGACCTGGGCGGTAGACAGATGCCAGCCAGGCCTGAAGCGGTCGTAGCCGAAGTCTGGCATGTCTGGTCACGTATGTGCAGGAAGCCATATGACCCAGGAGACTCAGGCATGTTCTTGGCGTCAAGGTTGGGAAGCTTTGAAGGCTGCGGATGAGGCCCGTCAGAGCGTGGAAACGAGCGTCCGGCAGGAGGGCTCAGGCACGCACGGAATCTAGGATCCCCCCGATGAATTCTATTCTCTGGGTTGGTTCTAGAGTCGACTTCGCTGCATTGATGAGAAGACCTAATTGAGAAAACGTGTCCGTGACCACTTGAACGTGAGATTGCACCTGTTCTTTGGTGCGACCTCGGATGAGCCAGTCGTCGAGATACAGGTATACCTGTATCCGTCTCTGACGAAGGGAGGCTGCCACGACTGCCAAACATTTGGTGAACACCCGGGGGGCTGTGGAAAGGCCGACCAGAAGGACCGTGAACTGGTAGTGTTCACGGTTGACCACAAAGCAGAGGAAGCATCTGTGTGCCGGATGGATTGTTATGTGGAAATATGCATCCTTCATGTCGAGGGCAGCGACAGGGATCCAGGGAAGGTATAATGGTACCCAAGGAGACCATGTGGAACTTCAACTTTACCATGAATTTGTTGAGTCCGCGCAGGTCCAGGATAGGCCGAAGCCCGCCCTTTGTCTTGGGTATTAGGAAGTAACGGGAGTAAAACCCCTTGCCCCTTAGCTCCTTTGGAACCTCCTCGATCGCCCCCATGGATAGGAGCGTTTGAACCTCCTGAATGAGGAGTTGCTCGTGAGAAGGGTCCCTGAAGAGGGACGGTGAGGGAGGGTGGGAAGAAAGAAAATTGGAGAGAGTATCCCCTTTCCACCGTGCGAAGAACCCAACGGTCCATGGTTATAAGGGACCAAGCATGGTGGAAACAGGATAAAAGATTCAGGAAGGGTGGGATAGGATCCTGACCGAGGTCCGGTACATCATCCTCAAGCGTCCCTTCAAAAGTTTTGCTTAGGGCCCACTGAAGGGCTTCGGCCACGTTGGTGGTTGGAGAGTTTCCTCCTGGTATTACGCCCCCGCCTCCTATAGAAGTCCTGCCTCGGCCGAGGAGGAGGATAGGAGCATTGGGGCTGAGGCTTAAATGGCTTCCGCTGGGTAGCCGGTGTATGCATCCCCAGCGATCGCATTATGGCCCTTGAGTCCTTGAGGCTCTGAAGCCTCGAGTCAGTTTTGTCTGAAAACAGGCCCTCTCCATCAAAGGGGAGATCCTGTAATGTTTGCTGAAGCTCTGGTGGTAAGCCGGAAGCTTCAGCCAAGATATACGTCTCATCGCAATGCCCGAAGAGAGGGTCCGAGCGGCAGAGTCTGCGGTGTCCAACGCCAGTAATGCAGTCCTCGCCACAGTCTTGCCCTCTTCCACTTCCACCAAGGCCCCAAACTCCTCTCTGGACTCCGAAGGAACCAGCTCCTTGAACTTTAACATGGAATTCCAAGAGTTATAGTTGTATTGGCTCAGGAGCGCTTGCTCAGGAGCCGGACGGCTGACGGTGGCCTCTGGCAACCGCGGCTCGGAGGGAGCTGAACAAGAAGCCCCTGACGGAGCACCCTGGGCCTGGTGGTACGCCCAGGGCGTCCAAAAGGGCCATTGAGTAGACCCTTGGACCGGACCTTGTCCCTGCGCCTGCCAACGAGCAGCCCCTGAGTTCAGACGGCTGTGATCCAAGTGGCGGCAGTCGGATAGACACGACCCCGTGTCCGACTCCGTTGAACGAGAGGCGGAGCATGATGGCCAGGGTGGTGCCGAGCGGGTCTGCACCAAGTCACGTCGACACGATGGAGATCAGTACCGCAAAGATGGAGAGCGCCGCCGCGAGGGGGGAACGGTGCTGTGACCCTAGATCGGTGCAGGGGTCTGGACCGGTGCCGAGATCTGGACCTAGTCCTCAATGGTGATCGTCGTCGGAAGTGGTGTCTGGACCGACATCTGCTCCTGGACGGTGACCGGCGTACCAAGCGGTGCCGAGAATGGTGCCAGGAGTCTGATCAGTGCCGTGAGTATGACCAGCGCCGCAAAGGAGAGCGGTGCCGGGACTGCGAGTGGCGTCGGGAGCGGGATCGGTGCTGAGAGCAGGATCGGTGCCGTGGCTCAACTGACAGTGCTGGGTGGATAAGGGCCGGCTTGTCCCGGGATGGGACCAGACGAGCAGGAACCGGTGCCTTTGTCTGCTGAGGGGATACTGACGCTGTCATAGCAATCAGTTCCCTTGCAGTCGCAAATGTGTGTGGAGTCAATGGCAACTGGACTTCAACCACGCTATGTGTTGGGGAATCCAGACGCACCGGTCTCAACGGCTCCGCTCTCGGTGCCGGAGTCAACGGTGCCGAAGTCAGCACTTGTGCCCCGGCCGCTCCTCTACAGGATGCGGCGCCGAGGGTGGATCCAGGGAGACTGGTGTCTGCTGAGGTGAGCCAGGCTTTTCCGGTCTACGGTGCCACTTGTGACCAGGCGAGTGGGAGCGGTGCTGGACCGATGATGTCAGTTGCGGTGCCGGGGAACGCCGGTGCTGCGGGTCTCTATCAGAGTCCGACCGCGGTGCAGTTCCTACTGTTGCCACCGGGGCGCTATGCACCGAAGCGCTTGGTGCCGGGTCTTGGCGTGGTGCTGGAGGTTAAGGGCATGAGGAGCTGTCGCAAACGAAAGTCCCACTCCTTTTTAGTCCAGGGCCGAAAACCTTTGCAGATCCTGCACTTCTCGATCTGATGAGATTCCCCCAGACACTTTAGGCAAGAGTCATGGGGGTCACCCGTTGGCATGGGCTTGGAGCAGGATGCGCAGGGTTTAAAGCCCGGAACCTTGGGCATGAGCCCAAGCTACCGGTGGGGAGGAGGGAAGATCCCTGACAACCCGCTACGTAGAACTATTTACACTATAACTATATAAAAACTCTATAACTATACTAACTATAAACTATTAAACTATTAACACTGTTGAGAGGAAAAACGCTAGGGAGAGTGGAGAGCAGCAAAGCCGAGCTCCACAGTTCCAACAACTGTCACGGGCGGTAAGAAGGAACTGAGGGGGTGCTGGGTCGGCCGGGGTATATATCCAGTGCCATGAAGGCGCCACTCCAGGGGGCTCCACGGCTGACCCACCGGGTGTTGCTAGGATAAAAGTTCTCCGACGGCCGTGCATGCGGTGCACGCACACCTAATTGGAATCGATATGAGCAAGCACTCGAAGAAGAACCTGGGCTTATAAAAACTGGTTCACATGTTAGAACAAACTGAATGTTACAAATATATTTTTATAAGTAAATTAAAGATAAAATAGAGTTTTCTAATGAATCTGTTGCATTCAAGTCACGGCACTGAAAAAATGCTTGACCACATCTCATTTATAAAAAACAACAAACAAAACTCAGCCACAGAACACACTGAAAAGAGTATAACATCTTGCCATAACTGTCAATTCTATTATTTTTATCTAATATAAGCAGTAGAAAGAATCAGCACCTAAACGGTTGGTGGAGTTATGTCTACAAATTAATCAACCTATATAGGACTCCACTTGCTGCTAAAAACCAGTTCTGTCTCTAAAGACAGTATCACAGGTTGGAGTGAGGCCAAGGCTACCCTTGCAGAGCTAATTTAATAGGGTTGCCAGGTGGCCAGTTGGCGTGGGGCTGGCAGGCTTCCTACGCAGCTCTGTGTGGCTCCTAGGAAGCGGCCGGCATGTCCCTCCAGCTCCTAGGCGTAGGAGCAGCCACGGGGGCTCTGCGTGCTGCCCCTGCCCTGAGAGCCAGCTCCGTAGCTCCCATGGGATGGGAATCGCGATCAATGGGAGCTGTGAGGGCGGTACCTGCGGGCGGAGGCAGCGCGTGGAGCCGCCTAGCCACGCCTCCGCCTAGGAGCTGGAGGACATGTCGCTGCTTCCTGGGAGCCACCTGATGTAAGCACTGCCCAGAGGAGCCTGCACCCCAACCCCCTGCCCCAGACCTCTTGCACCCCAACTCTCTCCCGGAGCCTGCACCCCGCACTCCAACCCCCAGTCCTGAGCCCCCTCCCACCTCCAAACTCCCTCCTGGAGCCTGAACCCTTAGCCCCCTCCAGAACCCAAACTCCCTCCCAGAGCATGCACCCTGCACCCCCTGCCACACCCTAACCCCTTGCCCCAGCCTGGAGTCCGCTCCCACACCCAAACTCCCTCCCAGAGCCTGCACCCCAACCCCCTACCTCAGCCCTCACTCCCACCCTCCAAACTCCCCATCCCTAAGCCCCCTCCTGTACCTCAAACCCCTCATCCCCGATCCCACCTGAGAGCCCGCAACCCCAGCTGGAGCCCTCTCCCACATCCCAACTCCCTGTCCCAGCCCAGAACCCCCTCCCACACCCTGAACCCCTCATTTCTGGTCCCACCCCAGAGCCCATAACCCCTCCCACACCCCAACCCCTGCCCCAACCCAGAGCCCCCTCCCACACCCTGAACCCCTCATTTCTGTCCCCACCCTGGAGCCAGCATCCTCAGCCGGAGCCCTCAATCCCTCCTGCACTCTAACCCCATGCCCCAGCCCGGTGAAAAGGAGTGAATGAGGGTGGGGGAGAGCAAGCGATGCAAGAAGGGGGGATGGACTGAGTGGGAGTGAGGCGGGGGGGCAAGGGTGTTCAGTTTTGTGCAATTAGAAAGTTGGCAACCCTATAATTTAAAGGGAATCAGCCTTTTGTTCACAGATTATGCCCGCACATTTTTGCATTCAACTGAATCTCTGCAATTTTTCTTTCACCCACCTAAATGTTATAATCATTCTATGGTGGTAAATATACAACTATTCCGAAGGAAAACAAAGGTTACTGAAGTGCACTGCATCACCAACCTGCTACGGTTATAATTATTTTGAAGGTTTACAAATCTTAAATACTGAGAACAATGAATTTCATTTTTTTAAAACAACAATAAGCTTACTGATTTGCTTGCAATTTTGCAGCACAAAAGTAGCAGCTTTGTTTACTTCTTCATCCTGAGACTCTGTTAATAACTGAATCATAAGTGGAAGGCCATTGTTCTTAAGCAGATCATACTGATTTTCTTCTAAAGAAGATTAGCATTAAAGGAAAATAAATCAGTTTCTAACTTGTACCATGGTTTCACAGTTTTCTTACATTATCTTTAGAAGACAGTATAAATAACTTTAAATAAAATTCAGCAAAATGTTTCTTTTTATCATGAGCCAAATTCATTAAATCGTATCTGGGTAATTTCCGTATAATGCATGAACTACTTTATATGAATTGCTTTATTTATTTTTTGTCCAGTTTAGGAAGCAATTAGGGACGATTCATAACTTCTAACTTACTGTATGAAACAGTCACTTCTAAAATTTCAGTAGTAGTATAAGCAAATCCAATAAGGACTGAGTCAGCTAAAAAGTAAATACTGCTAATTCAAGTGAAAAATGCATAGCGATCCATAATTAAAAGTCTGCATTAAAAAAAATCTAGAGTTTAAGTTAGTAAAAAACCTGTATATTTATTAAATGGGACCCAAGTGAATTTCAGTTGTTGACTAGGGCCTTATTTTTCATTAGGGTTGTTGGTTGTTTTGTTTTTTGGTTTGTTTGTTTTTTGCACTAAGGTAGCTGCATTAGTGCAAACCTCTCATGTACATGTGCATAGTATAAACTATGATTTACAACTGTCTGGCTTACTCCAGTTCGAAATCTGCATTGTAAGCAGAGCCTATCTAATCAGTTCTTCCCTGGGCAAGAACAGAACAGTCGCCCCATGCATAATTCATGTAATCGTCTAAAATTGTGTTTTCTAAAACTATGCTAACATTTGCATGCTAACATTTGCATAACTTTCCAAAAACATTTTTATAGTTCAGACAGGATCTTAAACTCTCTAATTATATTGGATCTTTTCTTTTAAAAAAAATCCTTAACTCTGCAAACAATAACATATTAAAATAAAAAAACTCTTATTTTATAAGATCATAAAATTTATATTTGCAATATATTTTCCATGGAGCAAAGCCCTCCTTTGATTCAATTAGTTCCTTTACAGCACAGTCCATCTCCTGTCGAAACTGTCAAACTGCCACTGACTTCACAGGAAGCAGGATTAGGGCTTTACAAGATATTCTCTGTTTGACAGATTCCAGAGTGCTCTTGAGAGAAAAGCGAACAATATAAACAATCAATCATCAGTATCTTGCAACTATCCACGCAGTTTGTGTTCATTGCCACAGGGTACCAACTGACAGTCTGAGTTGGGCAACTTTATTTTGGACAAACACTAAAATGTCAGGCAAAAGCATTTCAGACAAAATCCTGTTCTCACTTCCAAAAGTAATGCTATTAAATTCAGTAAGATTATTTATAGGTGCAAAGGGTCAGCACAACATCTATGCTCCAAGTACTACTGGAGCAGTTAAAATAGGGCTTAAGTGGAACTTACATGATGCATGTATCTTGTTCTGGCCCTCTGGACAAGGTGAATTTCACCCTATGTGAATGAGGTGAACAGGATTTGGTCCTTTGAGTGCTCCTCATAAGACTCTACTTTCTTTTAACCCTGAAGATACTGTATGTTGTATTGAGATAGCAGCTCTTCAAAACCAAAGATAGAACACTACAGAAAACTAAACCCTTTTCTTTGAATTTTAATATTGAATTAAATTATGTGGAAGAATTTTGCTTTGAGTATTTTAATGAAAACTGCTGAGGAGTGCGGCATTGAAGTGATTAAAGCCACAAACCAAAATTCATAACAGAAATCAGAATCTTACCACAACCTTCTGTGCAATGCCCAATTGTAAGAATAATACTAATTTTTTCTCCTGAATCCAGAGTGTCAGAAGTCAGCAACCTCAGTAGCTTAGACACAATGTGATACTTTACCAGGACATCACCAACAGCAGCTATTAGTATAAAATAATTTAAAGAGACAAAAATTAAACTAAACAGTAAGTACACAACACAATGCAACAAAAATACATTTTCTTTTTCAGGGTGTCCTCCATATCCCTGAAGAAGCCTTGAGATTGCCCCCATTTCTCCCCTGCTCTCACTCCCTCACTCCAACATTTGAAGTCAGTATCGTCTCCTTTCAGTGGACCAGTCCTGTAAATGCTCTTTCCCAGCCCCAACACTGTGCCATCCCCCAAATCCTGCTGCGGAAGAAGCCCTGATGAATCAGGGCTCTCCAGCACACCGGGGTGCAGACCTCTGGAAAGGTTCCCCAAATCCTTTACCAGATTCAGCACATGGAGAACTCACTGCAATTGGAGAGGACATGAAGATCTAACTCTTAGGTTTATCAGACATAAGATCCTCCCCACAGAACAACTGGAGAGGCTTCCTATAAAGAAGTCAAGCTTCTCCAAAGACTTAGGGGCACCTAAATTTGTTTGTGTATCTATGTGCTAAAAATCAAGCTGTTAGTCACACCCCCATGTCTCTGCAAATCCCAACAGGTGCAGGTACATTTTCTTCACTCTTTCTAATTTCAGTTGGAGACTGTTTAGGGAATTCTGACATGTAAAACTGTGTTTTCCACATGTGCAATATATGTACACTTACTTGCCATTTCATGCCCATCTACATACTTTTCTTCTAAAATCTAGCCCTACTAATTTATTTCTAGAAATACCATATATAGATATAAAAATGTTTGGGGTCCATTCACTCACAGTTATCAGCAATGCAAGCATCTAGAGTCTTTGTTACCACTACTGCAAGTTTTGCGCTTGAGTAACTTCTAGATGAATCACGGACCAGCTTGATAAGTACTTCAGCTAATATGTCTAATCCACCAACAGAAACAAAGTATTCCTGTACATATGCTTAAGGAAAAAAAGAATAAATACTGAATTGCAACATTTATATCTCTATTAACTAAAACAATATTAATAAAGCAATGTGGTAATGATTTTTTTTGTGTATGCTAATTTTCCTGCCATCAAACGCAATTCCATCAATACAACATAATCAAAATTGGAAATATAGAAGAGATGGCAAATTTAGAAATGTATTTTTCATAAGAATTATAGAAAATATACAAGCATAATATACACATGTAAACAATGTACTGGTGTTCTGCTTGATTTCATTTAGTTATAGCCATTATTTTCTGTGTTGTAATAATGATGAACTTACCTTTGGAAAATCAAAATGGCGCCCAAAGAATTTTACAGATTTTACTAACTTGAAGCTAATGGGACTATTTGTGGAGCAAGGTACTACTCGACATGAGTAAAGATATTAGAATCTAGCCCTTAAAGTAAATGTCACCATGTGCAAAGGAACCACACAAAGCCCTCTAAGCGAAAGATTGTTCCAAAGTAGGACACTTACAGTCTGCTGGACAGAGCCTAAAGGAATGCACTGAAATAGAGAAGGATGGTGTGACAAAACTGCTAGTGGATAGAGCCCGCATACCATCAGCTTTTATATATCTTATAGGTAAAGAGAGCTTCTTTTGAATCGTATCTTACCTAACTTCTATTTAACAGTAAAATAATTGATTAGCTCAACAGAAAAGCATTTTGGAAATGCACATGAAAAAAATATCAGAAGGGACTGAGGACCATAAAAGTATCTATGATGTTTGTTCTGATGCAATGTTCTCTTGTGGTATAACCAAGTGGTGGCAAGAGACAAAGAAAGGACAGAATCCTTAGAGAAAGACTCACCAAAGGCAAAGGTGCTTTTAAAAGAAAACTGCATCCATTTACCTCAGGAAAGCAATATAAATGAGAAATATTTCTCACCATGTTTAAACTGAACTACATTTGAAAACAAAGAGCCTGATTCTTTGTTGCCCTGCACCTTGTTTAGTCACCTACCCAGCACAAAGTGGATGCAAAACACTACTATACTGATCTGGTAGCATTTTTACACCTATGCTGCACTCTTTGAGGAAAATGACTAAATAGAGTCTAGAGCAATAATTTCTTCAATGCGAAGTTTTTAATTACAGTTGGTATTTCTAAGATTACTACTGACAGTAACCATCTTACTGAAAATTCCAGAGAGGTTTCATAAGAGAAATATACACAGAGAGAGATATTCTCGCAAGCTGGATACCTCTAAGCAAAATGATTCATGACTAGCTGGCCCCCAGCACTCTAACTCCCCACTCCAGCAGAATGGCTCCATTGGAGCTGATCTACCAGAACCTGGATTATCTCCATGAGACCAGTAGGGGGATGATGTGAATGCCTACTCCTGCCTCTTGCTCACCCTACCTCTTCGCCCAGTGCAAACCCTGGACCTGTAAGTGTCCTCTGTGAGGTTTGGAGGAGAAGGGACAATGACACAGAGGCAGCTGATCCATGCCTTCTGCAAAGAAGGTGGAAGATCAGTGAATGAATCTGGGGAGATAGGGAAAGAGGAAGAAATTTAAAATTTAATTATTGTTTCCAATGAAATGTAGTTCCATGAAATCTAAACTGTTGACAGGATGTCATGTACTTACAATTATTAGCAACTGTAAGTCCAACAAATGAACAAATAGGACGAACTATCTCAGGCTTTATGCAACTTCGGAGCCAGTCTTTTGCATGTGGAAAAACTGAACAGCAAGTGTTTTGATTGTCTTCTGTAGAGATGTAAAACAAACAACAACAAAAATCTAAATATAATATATAGTTACGTTTATAGACATGCTAGAAAATGGAAGTCAGATGTCACTTTTGAAAAGTGTTCTTTTTATGTTAACTATCATCTTATGTTATACAATTATTTAATAATAGTTACCATTTTGAGGATTATTAACACATGCACACAGAGTACTGCAGACTGAAGACCACAGCTGATAATACTGATTAATATTTTCATCTGACAGATTCATCTCAGGTATTGAAAGAGTTGTTCTGTTAAGAAAAAAGCAAACATAATGGCAAAGATGACTTAGGACCTAAATAGTCTGTTACTTTATATCTTAACAGAAACTGTTTATTTACCTGAATAATTGTAGCAGAACACCAATGCAGCCTGTTTCTCTGATGTGAGTTTGCCCACTCTCTATAAATGACCATATGCCAGTATTGGGAGAGACAATACATAATTTTAAACAAAATATTAATACTTTAAATGCCATTTAAATAGTTCAGTTTTACTTCAGCTCCCTTAGTAAACCATGTACAAATGAACAATGTGTTATGTACTTTCACCCTTAACTGTATAGCAACAAAAAGTGCTAACTATGTTCTTCAATTTTTATAAACTACAAGAACTTCTAAATTAATTGTTACTTTGTGTTTTAAACCATATGTTTGTACAGAGCCCAGAAGTATGGGTCCCTCTGGGTGCTACTGTAATACAAATAATAATTAATAAAGATCAATTGTTATATTTCAATTTCTCTACAAAATGTGAGAAACCCTCATTTTGCATTACGTTTTGCTAAAAACTACATGTAAGTTTCTTACACAAATAAGATAAAGTACTTTCAACATTTAAAAAAAACCCCGCTAATATTTGATCTACTTGTAACTGATTTTGAGATCACATAAAAGCAATCTATGTCACAATTAATCTTTATATACTAATCGTACAAAATATTAATGAAATCTTGAAGTCATGATAAACAGTATGGGCTGATAACCAGTAGTGTGTTTTAAAATGAGTTACATAGTATTAATAATTTAATGGTATTTTTACAAGTGAATGCAAAATACTTACTGTTATTTGAAACCAGTACTAATATAACATAAACAGACATTCTTTTCAAATTCACACTAGAACTCTTATTAGTTAAGAGGAAAATGAGGTCTTCAAACAATTCAGATGTACACAAAGTTTGTTGACAGTAAACTGAAATCAGAAAATGAATTATTGATATATTAATTCCTATTAAGCCATTTACAATTTCTATTTATTTAGGCAATAAAGTCTACAAATTACAGACTGATAAAAAGATTCTGTCTAAAATATACAGACTGACCTATACTGAAAGGCTGTCAAGAGAAAAACAATTATCAGGACTGAATCAGATATTCAAATTTAAATATTTCATACCATTACTTATTTGTAAGGCAAAATTTCCTCTCCTCCCTTCCCCCAACCAACATATCTGAGAGCCAGACTGAAAAGTCTTTTGACCCTTCCATAGATGTGACTGACAGCAACCTTTCCCCCAATCAACAAGGTGATACATAAACTAACCATAATTGGGTCATTTTATGGAACAAAGTATCAGGTCTACTTGAAAGCTCCCATTCTAATTTCCCTCCTCATGGCATGGCACTAATTCAGAAGTTCTGGGATATCTATTTCAAGACATAGGACATTAAAAATTCATCTTACCTAGCAACAGTTTAACAGTTACTAGGCAGAGTGTAGCTTCCAGACTCACTCTGAAGGATCAATTCTCAAATCCACTTGTCAGTAACTTTCAATGTAACTTGATAAGTAACCTGCAGGTCTTTGCTTAGATCCTCAGTTGTGACCAGTATGTGCTAGGTGCCTCTGAGGGAAGAGGGCTGCAAAAGAGCTGTTTGCTACTTCCTGATCCTGGAGCCAGTTCTGAGGCATGATACCGAGCAATCTCAGACCATCATGACAGTGGGAGACTAAAGAAGTGCACCACCCTGCTTTTGCTCACCCATGCCCTCTACACCAGAGCCTATAAGTGGGGCTGGTGATGTAGCACCAGCCACTCCACCCAAGGGATTCCCCCAAACCAGAGGAATTCTCAGATGGCCATTTAAGCTGGCTTTATGGCCCCTTTGAGCTTCCAGAATGGAGCAAGTATGGAACAGCAGAGTCAAGAATCTGGTCCCATTTGTCAGGCTGGTATCTGTTGTAACCTGATAAATAAATATATCTAAAACTACATTAAACCATTGGTTGATATGATAAATACAGGCAGGAGGAGGAAATCTTAAATTTTCAGGAACAATAAAGTGCAGTGATATAGAACTTGGAAAAATAAATAAAAGTATACATTACCATTACTCTCCATTACAACTGCTAATGTAAATAAGGCTGCTTCCTTTACTATGCAATGCACACTCGACTTTGCAAGGTCACTTACAAACATCAAACCACCAATCTCTCGGAAATAATCACTTGCATCACCTGTTGCATATGCAGACACAATGAACAAAAAGGGAAATTTATCTTAGGTACTAATTTGGGAATCCAAAAACAATCAGCAGTATGGAATACATGTTTTCAAGATTTTATGCCTTTACAGAGTCTTATGACTCCTAGACATTATTTTAAAAAGTGACAATGCTTAATATGTACTATGAAAATTTTTTTCTAGTATTACCACATTCAAATATCCCAGATAGGAAATAACAAATGCCCCAGTCGAAATGTCATGGTAGAATACTTCTTACTGTTTTGTTGGCAGATTGAATAAATAGTGATCAAGGCCTCTTTTTGAGAAGCAGGGCTGTCCATTTGGTATTTAAGACATTCAAGAAGTAAATTCAGATCTGTCTTCATCTCTTTGAGGAAAAAAACAGTTTTAGAAGAATTTCACAGGAAACATGTATGTTTTCTTTTGAATGCACCTTTTTAAATTGACGATTAATTTTTATGTTAAGACTCATAAAATATGGCACCATCTTCTATTTTGAAGAGAAAAAAAGAATCTGAAATTGAATCTTTTTTCCCCCCCACCTAGCAATAAAAGTTATGCACAGCCCAAAAATGTGTCTCTAAGTAGTTTTTGTTACTAGATGATTATTTTATTTGCTAATAGAACAATCCCCTTTTCATATTCACCTTATTGCCTTCAGTAACAATGTTGTTCTCTAGCTGCAAAATTAATTTAAACAGAGAATATGGAATAATGAAAGACATACAGGTTGAAATCCCCATTGAAACCCCACTGAAGTCAATTGGTGTTTTGTCATTGACTGCAACAGGGCCAAGATTTCATCCACAGAACGTGATCTCTACTAGCAGAATTTAAGCCTGGATCAGGACCAGAACAAATTTTGATTTATTAAGGAATACTGGATTGGCCCTATTTTTTTTAAATCTTCCATTGTTTGTAACACTATTTTAGAAGATTAAAATACAGACGATTTTCCAACCAATTTTGCCTTTGTTTATAGTGTTTTAAATTAGAGATGAAATTAATGTGGCTATTTTTATCTAACACTAATAAAAACAATCACTTTATACAGTAGCTGATTTTATCACTTTGTTTCTGCATATTTCCAGGAATATTACAATTAAATGTCACTGCAGAACCAGCCTTTAGACAAAAGAACTATGTATTTGTTGGGCCTCCCCAAATTAATGGTATCTGTATTAATTATTATTATTTTTCTATGATTGATGATAATGGAGTCTCCCATCAAATTCAACAGATGAGCTACAATCATTTATTGTGGGTCCTGAGATGAGTCCAAAGACCAATTTCAGACCTGCTGCCCCATCCGCAAATACCACAGGTAAAAACAATTGCAGATGAAGGTGCATTGCTTTTAGCTTTACACATCGCACGTCTCTCCTTCATTGCAGCAATCTGTGAGCTCTCGAAGTCTTTCAGTCCAAGGTGGCAGAGCTGCCGCTATCACGTCTTATTGTGGGCTAAGAGCTCCCAAATGTTGAGGTCAACATTACAAGACTGGAGGTGGGCCGTCAGAGTGTCTTTGTAACATTTTCTTGGTCTGCCCCTAAAACAAGTTCAAGTCTGCAATTCTCTGTAGAAGATGGCCTTCGGTATTCTGCTGTCAGACATATGGACCACATGACCATACCATCTCAAACTGCACTCTCACTATAAAAGCTTCAATGCTTTTGATGTTGAAGCACTCAAGGACGTCAGTGTTTGGAACCAAGTATTGCCATTAAAATTCCCACTATCCGCCACACAGTCATTGTAAGTGGAACTGGTCCATGCATTTTACAGGGCATCAATATAGTCCAAATAATGCAGCCGTAGAACACTGAGGTGATAACAATGGTGCAATAAACATCAATTTTTGTTTGCAGTCTGACATCTCGTTCATTCCAGAGATGATGTTGAAGTTTTCTGAAGGCGTTACTGGCTGTCCCAATGCACTTCATAATGTCGTCATCATCAATCACCGCATCTCATGAAACAACACTGCCTAGGTAGGAAAACTGTCAATGACCTTGACAGGTACATCATCAATGAATACAACTGGAGTAGTTGCAATACTTCCTGGTCGAGGCTGAACCATGATTTCTGTCTTCTTTAGGCTGATCGTTAAGCCAAAACATTTTGCTGCATGCGCAAAGCAGTCAGTCAGCAACTGAATGTCCCTGAGGTTATGGCCCAATAAAACAGAGCCATTAGTGAACTGTAATTCATGACAGGCTTCAGAGTAGCAGCCGTGTTAGTCTGTAGCTGCAAAAAGAATAGGAGTACTTGTGGCACCTTAAAGACTAACAAATTATGCTCAAATAAATTTGTTAGTCTCTAAGGCGCCAAAAGTATTCCTGTTCTTTTTGTAATTCATGAATAACTGTCTTCATAACTTTTATATTTGAATGCAGGAGATGCAGATTCAAGACACCTCCATCTATGTGGTACTTCATATAAACACCATAACCAATGTCTCTGAATGTATCTATTAAAAAACAGCTGCAAACATGATGCTAAATAATGTCAGAGAAAAAAAACAGCCTTGTTTTACTCCATTGGTGACAACATAAGGAGTTGAGAAGCAGCCTTGGTCAAGAACACAAACCTGCATTCCTGCATGAAAAAATTTAATAATGTTGACAAACTTATCAGAGCAATTGAACTTGTGGAGAACTCTGCACTGGCCATCTTAATTTATAGAGTCAAAGGCCTTAGTAAGATCAACAAAACCTATATATAGGTCTTGATTCTGTTCATGACATTTCTCCTGAATTTGCCAGAGTAAAAAGATCCCGTCTTAAGTATCACACCCAGGACAGATGCAACATTGGATTTCAGGCAATATCTTCTCTGCTAGTTGATAATCAGCCAGTTTAGCATGACTTAGGTGAATATCTTTCTTGCAGTGGCAAGGAACAAAATGCCACGATGGTTATCACAAGATGCACGAATGCTTTGCTTTGATAAAGGTGAATAATACTGGCATCTTTAAGTTCCTGTGGCACAGTTTCCTGTTCCAAAAACTTTTAGTAGAGGCCAGTGAGCTTCCTGACAAGTCATGGCCCTCACATTTGAAGATCTCTGCAGGAACCATCTGGACCTGTTGCTTTGTTGTTTGACATTTGCTTAACAGCTTTCCATACTTCAGATATGTTCAGTGGAATTACAAGTTGGTCATGAATTGGAAGTTATTCAAACCATCAACAGCTGATGCGGTGGATGGGAAGTTCAGAACCTTAATAAAGTGTTCAGCTCATCTTTTGAGAATTTGTCCACAGTAAGTCAGCAGCAGTGACTCATCTGCATTCCAGATAGGGATGGTACCATTAGCTTTCATTTTCCACCAGCTATTTTTCCTGTGGTGAAGCTTAGCTTGCACATTGCACTTTGTATAGGAATAAGAACTTTTTAATAGATGAGTTTTTATCATTTAACCGTAATGTGTGAAGACCATACAAGGATGTCAGGAGTTTCTTTATCTCAGCATCATTTTCATCAAACCAGTCCTGATGCTTCGTCTTTATAAAGCCAAGAACTTCTTTACAGGGCTGGCTCCAGGTTTTCTGCCGCCCCAAGTGGCGGGAAAAAAAAAAAAGCCAATCGGCAGCACTTCGGCGGCAGATCAATCGCGCCGCTCCATTCTTCAGCGGCAGTTGGGCGGCGGGTCCTTCACTCCCTCTCTTCCTCTTCGGCGACAGTTCAAAAGGAAGAGAGGGACTGAGGGAACCACCGCCGAATTCCCGCCGAAGACCCGGACGTGCCGCCCCAATAGCGGACGGACTGCCGCCCCTTTGTATTGGTCGCCCCAAGCACCTGCTTCCTTAGCTGGTGCCTGGAGCTGGCCCTGCTTCTTTAAGGTGCATCAAACATTGTTTCCTTAAAAGATGACCAGGAAGACTCAATGTTTATTATGTCCGCCTGAGAAAGCATATAAAGAACTTCATCAAATTCTTTAACAAGCCTTGTACATGCGAGCTCAGATTTCAATGCTTGCACTTCGAGCATGGGTACTGCAGATTGACAACACTGGTGCTGTTTTAATTGCAAGATAAGTGTCATTTTGCATCTCGTACAGATGATCAGACCACATGCATGCACCCCACAGTGCCTGGGTGATTTTGATATCCCAATGGTCACATTGCCATATGACATAGTCAATAAAATGCCAATGACCAGAGTGGAAATGCATTCATGTTGTTTTGTGCTTTGTTGAAATATCATGTTTGTGATGACTAGCTGGTTCTGCATGCACTTTGTAAAGAACAGTGCGCCATTTAAGTGCTCTTTCCCCACACCACATTTACCAATTACTTTTGGCCAAGCTTTGTGACTGTGACCAACTCTGGCATTAAAGTCACCTAGAATGATTAAATTTGTCGTGCTGACGAGCTGATTTTATGGCCTTGTCGAAGTCTTTGTAGAATTTTTCTTTGACATCATCAGAACATGTCATCATAGGTACATATGCACTGATGACTGTTACATGACATACACATGTCAAGGTGAGGCAAAGGATCATCTGGAGATCATTTATTCCTTTTGGTACACAAGCAAGAGCACATGCAATAAATGTCGAAATAGCAAAGCCTATCCCTGATAGTGACCTCTCTTCCGCGAACATGCCTATCCAGTAGAATGTGTATCCAGCACCGAACTCTTCAAGATTGTTATTACTTGGGAGACGTTTCAGCAAGTGCAGCTACATCGATGTTATATTTGACAAATTCTTTTCAAATGAGTGCAGTATGCCTTTTGAGCCCACCAGCATCATCAGAAAGAGTATAGACATTTTTGGATGCAGAGTTCAGTATTTTTTGTGTGATATTGTTTTTTACCACACAACTGGATGACCAGATAGTTGCAGCACACTAGCAAGCTGATAATGGAGTGAATGATGTTTAGGGATCCTTTCCTCCCCCTTCTCTGGATTGGGAAGTGAAGCACTATTCTTAAAGAGGGCTGCTCTGTAGTCAGTGACAAATGACCACGTCACTCACTCTGCCTGCATGCAAGTTTGTGACTAGGGACCCCAGCAGCATCCTCTGCCTGTCTCTGTCACCACATGCCCATCACCACAGGACTTTCAAAGAACAGAATTTAGAGGACTTTCCCCATTCGATTATAATTATAAATTACATCAAATGCTGGGTCTAAAATCTTGATCATGACAATGTACTGTATAAATAAAACCTTCAAGGACAAATCAGGAGAAGCTGGGTGTTTGGTATAGCAAATTCTCTTTTAGGGCTCAATCCTGCCAGGTGCCGAGTGCCCTTCAATTGTCTTCAGCAAGAGTGAGTTTAGGACACTCACCACCAACCAGGACATAATCTCAATAATTAAGAGACTAATCCAACTAGCACTGGGAGTTGGACCACATCCTAAGGACAGATGAACTGTTGAGAAGATATGGTCAGATTTAGGCACCTAAAGATGCAGAGAGGTGCCTAGTGGGATTTTCAAAAGTGCCTATACATCTAACTCCCATAAGAGTTAAATGCCTATGTGCTTTCAAAAATTCCACTAAGCACATATCTGCATCTTTAGATGCCTAAATACTTTGAAAATCTGGCCTTTAAGGTCTTGAGTGTGCTATCAAGGTGACTTTATTAATAATTATTTTACCACTTCTGTTAATAGTAGCTACTGAATTTCTCTTAAAACTCACAATGCTTTGGTGATTTCAAGGAATATAAATGGTTAAATGAAAATAGAGATAAATGTGGAAACAATAATTATCAAAAACATGTGATTTCATATGGACACAATTTAGTGTCTGAATTATGCCATTAGCTTTGTCTAGTATCTTCATCACAACATTTAATCCAAATATATGAATATAGTAGCAAGGCACAAGCAAATTCATCCAACAGTCACCTATCCCCATGGTAGCCCAGCTACCATCAGAGTCTGGTAAAACAGTGAAAAACAGATTCAGATATGACAAGTTATTCCAGAGATCTTACCACATTGTGTGTTCTGTACTTCTATATTTTCCATTTTCGATTGTATTCTTATTTTTACCCTGCAACGGTAAGAAAAGGCACTTTCTCAGCAGTTCACAAAAAGTGTACATACAGTATAAGTCCATCATGCCAACTTTCTTACAACATCCTCCCTCCTCTTCTGGTTATTTGATTTTTAAATTACATGCCATATGACATACACCCAAATCAGTGTGATCATGAATGAAAAAGGCAACAGAGAGTCCTGTGGCACCTTTAAGACTAACAGATGTATTGGAGCATAAGCTTTCGTGGGTGAATGCCTGCCACTTCGTCAGATTCATGCATCCGACGAAGTGGGCATTCACCCACGAAAGCTTATGTTCCAATACATCTGTTAGTCTTAAAGGTGCCACAGGACTCTCTGTTTCTTTTTACAGATCCAGACTAACACGGCTACCCCTCTGATACATGAATGAAAAAGATTCCCTTCGGAGAGGTATCATTAGAAGGTAATATACTACTGCAACTACAAGGGGTTTTATCCCATTTTATTTTGTAGACAAAGTAATTTGGTTCTACCATTGGGATGCATGTAAAGATAAAAACTCCCAACCTCACACATTTTTAATCTTGATTACCGGTATGTTATTTATCTCAAAAAAACTGCCACACTTTCTCCCCCTACGTCTGGCTGCCCACTTACTTCAACTGCTTGCTGATGATATGGAACCACTGGTCAATTTAAAAACTAGTAGTTCAAGTTTTCAAAGGAAATCTATGACCTTCTAGCTCCTGCTGTTACCACTAATGAGGAGCAACCAAACCTTGCATTGCATACACTTATGACTGTTTAAAAACCAGTATGGATCAAAAACAAAGACATTTGATGGAACATGGACTGCAGAGGCAACTCCTTCAATTAAGATTTTAATATTTAAATGATTAGTAAAATTAGCATATTTGACATCAAATCAGAAAAATTCACAATTTCAACTCTAAAAACAAATAAGAGCCCTGATCCTTTGGTCCAACAGAGCAGCATTCAGAGTGAGACTTAGGAATGGGGAGCACAAAGATAGCTTAAAGCAGGGGTAGGCAACCTATGGCACGTGTGCCGAAGGCGGCACGCAAGCTGATTTTCAGTGGCACTCACACTGCCTGGGTCCTGACCACCGGTCCGGGGGGGCTCTGCATTTTAATTTAATTTTAAATGAAGCTTCTTAAACATTTTAAAAACCTTATTTACTTTACATACAACAATAGTTTAGGTATATATTATACACTTATAGAAAGAGACCTTCTAAAAATGTTAAAATGTATGACTGGCACGCGAAACCTTAAATTAGAGTGAATAAATGAAGTCTCGGCACACCACTTCTGAAAGGTTGATGACCCCTGGCTTAAAGCCACAGTCCCCAAATGCTTGGGCCGGTCTGCATCAGTCCAGTCACTTGCAAGCAAATTAGAGCAGATTGAGAGCTGCTGTAAATTACACTGACTACCCGCAGCTCCCAAGAGATTAATCCAGCAACTGAGAATTCCTGGAGCATAAACATAACCCAACTACATTTCCTTTTCCCTGGACATGACAAATGTGCCCAGGGTCAACAAAGGTAGGCCTCAAGCCACTATAGTATCTTTAAGCCCCTTGAAGATTCTCCAGCTCAATGTGGGAATTTCAAGGGGGTTGGTTAAGCTAATTTTATGGCTACTTAGTGGCATCAGAGTAGTGCCTTTGAGAAATATCACAATGCTATCATAAAAGAGGACAGTTCTTGCCTTCACTAAGAATTCTTGATCTTCCCTTTGCCTCATTTCCTCACTGCTTCACAGAATGGCTCATGTACAAGGACCTTCCCAGTCCCCTTAAATCTGTCAACCACACAAATGACTTGAGAGGGAGAGGTTGAGTTTTTTAAGCAGGAAGGACTCTTCTTCCATTCTCATCCTATTCTTACACACTCTCTCTCTCCTGATCCTCTGCCAATGACAGAAAACTCTGTAGCCTCCCAGTCTCCCTCTGCTTCCCACAGAGGCCACATTGTGAGGCTGACAGAATACTAGATCAGCTTCCTATTTATTTATTTAGCAAAGGACTGACCTTTCTCACCTTGGAGCTTCAAGTATCATTTTCAGTTCAGCTGAAGTAATTTTTTTTTAAGTTTATGATTACAAACATGATTTTTTTGTAATGTGCATTGCTAGTTTTGAATACTTTTAAGATCAGAGTCTACTTGAATACTTTTTAAATGGACTTTTTCTGAGAGACCCCGTACATAAAATATCATTTTATAAACCTCCCATTGTTATGTATCAGTAGATCTGCTTCATTATAATATCACAGACCAGAGCCAAGCTGAGTAAGTCATCAGGCTCTGCTGCAGCAGAGAACTTTTGTGAAGCCTATAAGTTTGATATAGGGTAGAAGACAAAAACATTCTTTCTTCTCCGTCAGCTAAGGATATCTAACCCAAATAATATATTCCCAAATACAGGCCTATTTGTATTTTTGTACAGCAATAAGGAAACACTTGGCTTATAATATTCAGAAAAGTACCTACAAAAATGAGGTCAGGGGAATGCTTTTCAAAGTGGATGAGAACATTCCAGACACTCAAGCCGATTTCAGGCTATCATTCTGCGGTAACACCAAATAGAAAGGAAAAATCCAAAATTCTCTCTGGCTGCTAATTAAGCCCTTTTTTAAAACTGTAAGTTTTTTAAATCCTAGGGATAGATTGTCAGCTGGTGTAAACTATCACAGCTTCATTGAAATCATGACAGTTTATAGCAGCTGAGGATCTGACCTCTATATTTCCAAACATACCAGCGTGTTTATCATTCATTGGTAACAACTTGGTGAACTTACAGCACTTAGGATGGTCATCATTTCTGATCCCCTAGTCTGCCACCTATGTGTTCATTCCATCGCTCCCCCTCCCCCCCACAATGGCTCACATATGTTAATGATTTCAATGAGTGGGGTGGGAAACAATTAATTGCAGGAATCAGGCACAGAAAAAAAACAAACTATTGGTCCACTCTACGCCGCCCCAAGCAGACGTTAGGGATTTTAGAATCCCACACTAGACAGAGATCAGGCTGCAACTCAAGTGCTTTCCCCCACCCATTCTGCTGAGATGCTATGATCACTCAGAGGTTGGTTGAGCTTTCAGGGCACCCCTGTCCCCTGTACAATCAAAAGGCCTACATGAACATAAGAACAGCCATACTGGGTCAGAACAATGGTCCATCTAGCCCAGTATCTTGTCTTTCGACAGTGGCCAATGCCAGATGCTTCAGAGGAATGAACAGAACGGATAATCAAATGATCCATCCCCTGTCGCCCGTTCCCAGTTTCTGGCAAACAAAGGCTAGAGAGCCACTTCAGAGCATGGTTTTGAATCCCTGTCCATCCTGGCTAATAGCCATTAATGGCCCTATCCTCTATGAACTTATCTAGTTCTTTTTTGAACCCTGTTATAGTCTTGGCCTTCACAATATCCTCTGGCAAAGAGTATGCATTGTGTGAAGAAATACTTCCTTTTAAACCCTCTGTTTATTAATTTCATTTGGTGACCCCTAGTTCTTGTGTTTACTCCTTCTCATAACACTTCCTTATTTACTTTCGCTAAACCAGCCATGATTTTATAGACCTCTCTCATATCCCCCCCAGTCGTCTCTTTTTCAAGCCGAAAAATCCCAGTTTTATTCATCTAGGATGACCAGACAGCAAATGTGAAAAACTGGGACAGGGGTGGGGTGGGGTGGGGAGGGTAATAGGAGCCTATATAAGAAAAAGACCCCAAAATCGGGACTGTCCCTATAAAATCGAGACATCTGGTCACCCTATATTAATCTCTACTCACACCCCTAATCATTTTTGTTGCCTTTTTCTGTATCTGCTCAGGCAATAGAGACCCTAGGGCAACATCACCTTCCCAGAGTCAGTGTGTGTGGCAGGGCCGCCCGGGGGGGGAGGGGGCAAGTGGGGCAATTTGCCCCAGGGGCCTCCACGAGAATATAGTATTCTATAGTATTGCAACTTTTTTTTTATGGACAGGGCCCCCGAAATGGCTTTGCCCCAGGCCCCCTGAAGTCTGGGCAGCCCTGGTGTGTGTGGGGAAGACAGGGGGAGCAGGCCCTAGAGCCAGGCACACTGGCCCCACCTCGCACGTAACAGGCTGAAGGGCAGAATGACCCCTTTGCCCCTTCCCAAAGTTACCGCTTGTCCCTGGGCTTGTCCTAGCTGGCACGAGGCTCCAAGGGTATGGGTACACTGCAGTTTGACACCCATGGGTGGCCCGTGTCTGCTGATCCAGGCTCATGGGGCTCGGGCTAAGGGGCTGTTTCACTGCGGTATAGACTTTGCAGCGAGCTCTGTGACCCTCCCACCTCGCGGGGTCCTAGAGCTCGGCGCTGCAGCAGGAGCCTGCACATCTACACCCCACAAGGAAACAGCCCTTAGCCCAGGCCAGCCGCGGATGTCCAACTGCAGTGTAGACATAGCCCAGTCACCCCATTAGCAGCTCTGCTCTGCCCTGCCGGCACGGCACCAGCGCCCACAGCTGCAGGGTGTCGCCTGTTTCCCGCCCAGCCGACTGAACCAGCCTGTGTGGAGAAGGGGCCGGGTCCTGGCGCTGAGCGCGGCAGCAGTTCGCCCCGCGTACGGCTATGAGCGTCACTGGCCGCTTCTCAGAGCCGTTGCTCTTGCAGCTGCAGGGCGAAGAGCTGTCAAAAGGCAGGGCAGGGCCGCTCCCTCCCTCCGGGGTTTCAGTCACCCCACGGAAGACGGGAGAAAGCGACCACTTTTCAGTCAGAGACATACCGGCCCCCGCCGTCTCTCCGCGGGGAGATCCCCGCGCGGTCTGCGGAGAGGGACGCTCGCTCCTGCAGGGCGCCTCAGCCCCGCGCCTGGTGGGAGCGACCCGCTTGCCTCTCCCGCCTCAGGCTGCTCTAGCAGACAGTCGCGCTGTTGCTGGAGGGCAGCGCGTGCAGCGCCCTGTCAGTGGGCCCCTAACCTCTGCCCCGGTCCAAGCTGAAATGTAGGGCACGGCCTTTACGAACTAGCGCCGAGTTCGCCACGCAACATTTAACACGGTCCCCACGCACTGTCCTCCCCTCCCCACGGAGAGCTGGCCGTACAGAGGGGTTAGGCGCGCTCCCTCTTCGTGCACCTGTCGCGAGTCTTCTACAACCTTCCTTGGGAACAATGATTGATGACTCAGTGCTTAGTGGGTTTCTTCTGGTAAAGGTGGTAAGGATGAAAGCACCCCCCCCCCCATCTCTCTCTCTCACCTGTTTCCATCCAAAATGCTTTTAATACTATCACAGTCTTCAGCATTTTTGGATTACTACACAAAGCTACATAGTTGTGGCAGGATGATGCCAATTCTCCCTCTTGTGCCACAGGGCCCAGGTTTAAGAGGATTATTTTCCCATAGTTTATTAAACTCCCAATTAAAATACTGTTCTAGTACTTCCTTACATTAACAGGTTTCAGGTACAAGGGTTTATTATTATTTTGCTTAGACGCTTTTATAAAGAGGCTAATTATGGACCAAGTAGAGTGGTTCAACAAGTCTCTGCTTTGAGATAAGTCAGCAAGGTGTAAGTAACTACGTTTAACTTCTGTTACCACAGAATAGACATTGCATTGTTTGAAGACACTTGAAGAAATAATGATCAGAAAATTCTACATATTACATGAAAACAAATATCTTCCATTTTATGGTGTGAATTACTTGTCTTGTCCTCAGAATAAAATAAAAGTACCCTTTATTTGCAGTAAGATTTTAATATGGAGGAAAATACAGAAGAGTTTAGTTATTGGTACCACACCACACTAGTGATATTTTACAGAATGGAGCAAACCTGACGGCAATTACAGTTTCCAACATATATACCATAGTTGTTCTACAACTGGAAAGTTGCTGATGTCTGTGACATTCCACTGTAAATATAGGTGTTATTAAAAATTACAAATTGTCCTGTAATTACTTTGACAACCTCTTGAGCAGCAGCACCTATTAAAGTGAAGGGGGAAAAAGAATAACGTTGGCAGGTAATTATATTTAAAAAAAACAAACAAACAAAAAGAGCAACAGTATCTGGTGCAGATTGCAATATAAAGATGAAACAGTTTGATAGACTGAGTTTAAATGCTTTCCTGAATCAGGGCATAAAGTGATTTGGTATTTTTCAATTCAATTTTTTAAAGAGGCATATACATATAAGTTTATGTAAATATTTTATCATGTGAACTGGTGAAAAAGAAACTGATCTTTCTGAATTAATACAAGAGAAGTGTCTACATCCCCTAACCTGATTTTTTTCCTAATCAACCATTTTTCTAAAACACTTCCTCCCCTCCCATTCAATAATCCCCTTTCCTTTCAAAAGAGATTATGCAGTCTAGAGTCTGAGTATTGGAAAATTCAGGTGACAGAAAACTTAGCTAGTAATTAGCTTCTCTACATTTATTTCTTTAACTGTTGAACAAGCTCTTAAATTTTATTTTATTGCTATAACCCCTTTTAATACCTCTATAAAAATACTGTGTTCACGTTTTCTTTGCCATTATAAACTCTTAAGAACCCTGATCTTGTCTTCATACATTTTTCTAAAGTACCACGTACACCCATGGCAATATAATTTTCTTTAACCTTTAAAAAAAATCCAAGTTGTTTATATAACTAACACTTCAACTGGTACTGTAAGAAGACAAGTAAGCAAAAACAGTTAAGATTGCAATAATACTTCTATTATATACATTTCAAAATGATTTACATCTTGGTTATAAAATATTTATTGCAGCCTGAAATAAGGCAATGTTGGTTAGGTACAGATTTACAAAGTTCGCAGAGTTAGCAATGTCTACACTGAAATTAGAACTAAATTAAAATTAGTCATATTGTGCTATTGTTTCCGTCAATGCTTCAGATTTTTATACTTTCACTAGTCACATATACACATTATAAATTTTATTTTAAACTAGAGTAATAAAAGTACAAGTAGTATAACTGGCCTAATAAGGTCATTTTGTAATTTCCCATTATTTCTTTTATTCCAATCTGATCACTTTCTCAGACAACTTTTTCCATATAGCATATGACACACCGACTTTAAAATGTTGCAGTACTAATGCAGTCTTTGTCTGCAGCCCATAGTTATTCCCTTTGCTCCAAATATACTGAAGAGGAATTCTATTAAAATAATAAAAATTGGGCTCAAAAATAGCTCCGTTGACAGTTCTAAATGGACCTGTGAAAATAAAGTGGTATTCTTACCTCCCAAGAATGCAGCGATAGTATGTGGCTCAGCAGCTCCATAGCGACAACTAGATAGCAAAAAGTAAAATAATTAGTATTTTAGGGCAGTTTAAATAAACTAATGAAAGTGACATCTTATCATACAATACTTACAATTCATGGACATAATCATCCTTCACTGTTACAGACAGCCCATATTCCTGAAGAAAACCACTGAGGCAAGATTTCAATTTTCCAATATCATCTTCCACTTGGTAGTTATACACACCTAGGACATAAATTATGAGCCATTTCTCCTCATTGGACTTTAATATGCCAGAGTTAACACATCCAATAATTTTTTTAAAATTGTGCTATGATTACCTTGTTTGTTATTGCAGTCATTAACATTTTTATTCAAGTAACATACATTCGTATTTAATTTTAGCTCTAACAATACTGAACAATCAAATACCACTGATGATGTTCATTCAGCAGAATACTAAATCATCATGTAATTTAACTAATTTTTACAAGCAATTAAAACCATCATCATCAATCTGCATTCATTTGTTAATCTTAAGCATCTGGTCACTTCGTAATATTTGCACAATAAACGTACTCTAGTTTAGTTCAAATATTTGCTTAATCATTTTTATAGTTCATATGTATTACTGTATCATAAATTAGATTGGTATATTTCCTAGAGTGACTGATATGTATCTAAAACTATTGTAATAACCTACCTGGGTATCTACCATGCTGTTTATAAAATCTATCCACAGCTCGTAGCATTAAGTATAGCACTATCTCACTGTCTGGATTATCCATGCTGGAAACTGAAAATGATTAAAAAAAAACAAAAAAAACCCAAAAATACAGATTTTAAATTGGTTTAAAATAGACTTGGAAATAGATGGAATGATAAAAGTATTTCACATTTGCTTGAATGTAAAAAACGCATTTTTTACAGTTTCGCCACCACACCCCCATGGGAGACAACTGAGAGGTCTCCCCTTCAAGTTTTAGTGATGGATTGTTTAGATATGTAAGTGACGAAGTATACTAAATGTTATGTACCCATATATTTTTATATAATCTCAGTTTGGAGCTGTCCACCTGTTCTTACTTAAACTCCACCAATGCCAACAATTGCTTGGTTGTGATATTTACCCTGAGTCACAATTCGAGTTTCATAATTACACTTGGCAGAACTTTATTTTTATATTTTTATAATTGTGATGGATAATAGTCTATTTTTAAGCATTTTAAAATATTTTTGTTGATTTAAATATACACAGTTGAAGGAAATTATAGGGGGGAGGTCAGCCAATTATTTTAAAGACAGTAGATATTGAGAGTCAAAAAGTTAAACTTTATAACCATTAAAAAACAAATTGTCAACATTACATCAAAATACACAAAGGAAATATCCTAAAGTCAAACTCTTACTTCAAGAAGATTTTGCTTATCTGTAAATTTTGATTTTTAAATCAATGGAACTATTTGTTTTGTTCATTTTCATTCGTGAAATCAATGTTTACCAATACAAATCTAATCCTTCCAAGCCTATTTATAATGTATATTTACAAAAGAAACACTAAGGGCAATAATTATATAATAAATGGAAGTCTCCTTAAGATAGGCACAAAAAATGATGTAGGGACAATACATATTGAGCTTTTTAAATGTAAAATTAAACAAGTTCCTGAATTACTGTACCCAACATAATATGAACCAGTTCAAGGAAATTTTACTTATGTACTTTGTGAATGTGATAAACAAAAAAACAATTCTTTTGGCCAAAACTTTATGACAAGACTGAAAAGACACATACTAAACGAGTGCTGTTTTTCTAAACGACTGCTGTTTCCCTTTTAGTATTTACCTTGGAATTTGGAGTTATGTATGTTTGAAAAGTCTGTAGCAGTTATTTGCCTAATTGTTATTAAATGATACTTTGCCACATAATTTATTCACAAAATACAACAACTGTCAGTAGCTAAAAAAAGATAATTAAATATTTGCTCCTGAGGAAGAACCTTTCTAGCTCCTGTTACAAAAAACTTAAGTCCGACAGGAGAGAATATAATTTAAAGACTATAACACCTTGATGAGGATGAATGTTTTACTTACATGGCTGTTGAAGAGAAAATATCTGCCAGGGAAAACTACCACACACATTAATTCAGTGGCTCATCTTTGAGCTTTTAAAACAAAATTGTCATAAAAAATATTTTTAAATTATGCTTTGAAATATATACGATATGTATTTTCTGTTTAAGTATGGTTTCATGATAAAAGAAAGAGGTTCAAAGAAAAACTACGAATAAATAAAAATAGAAAGTCCTTACTAATTTCATCCTTGTTAAATGTATTTAAACCATACTCTTCAGAAAGGGATCTACACCGCACTACTCGAAGAAACGCTGAGTTGTTGCCTGAACAAAGAACACAGAAAAGAAATATTGGAGTACTGGTTAAAAGGGTGCAATATTTTCTTCAGCATTTCAGAATTTACTTACTGTTAAACAATCTAGAGTAAATCTATCACCAACTGATGTTATTTTAGTTTTTTATTGTATTTCTTCAATGGTGCAATGTAATAAAATCTTTTAGATAAGTAATTTTTCTTTATAGGTCTATGAAGGTAAACAGTTTTATTAAAATGTTCTATATTTGTGTACTTCAAAATTCCAGTCATGTTGCCTATTGCACTGTGATAAGGATTGTCAATACATGTGGTACCAGACTCCAGAAAGGATGATGCCCCATCCTCCTCCTCTTTTATGGTCATCTGTTGGACCACAGGCATCAGCCCCACATTTTCTTCCTCCATCCTCCCAAAAGCTGTTCTCTTTCCTAAGTTGCACTAAATAATGCTGCTTCCTGCAGCGCTGCCTACTCTCTCTGTGGCAACAGGCAATCTAGAGAGAGCAACATTCTAAAAAAAATCAGTGGTTGGGGATGGGCAAGAGTGAACCTGTGGCAGTGGTAAAATGGCAGAAAGGGGAAGAAAAAAAATAGACAAATATGGATGAACATAGGGAAGGGGGAAAAAACCACCTCAAACAAACCAAAAACTCTAAATACATGCCACAACTACAGCACTTCAAATACAACAAATACTTATAGTTTCAGATGGCTGCTGTTTTCCTTGTCATATGCCCTAGTATTTATTAACATACAAGGGTAAAACAAATTTTGCCCAAATGAACAGTAGTTCCATCCAGAATCATCAGTAATTAATTTTATTTTATTTTATTTTTGTGGGCAGATAACATTCAGCCATCTGCCTATAGCTTTCCATGCACCTTATTCTGACAGGCGCTAAGCACTTGCAACTTCTATTGAAGTCAGTGGGAGATATTTGTGTCCATTACTTCTCAGGAAAAGGCACAACGTTTGATTCAAATACTGAGCTAGAGATTAAACCTACACTGTGAATAATTTTAAGACTTCTTGAAAATTTGTATGTGCATAAAACAAGAATGACGTAATTCAAAATTCAAAGATACTTACAAAGCAATTTTAACTCTTTCTGTGAAATTGACTCTGGTGCCTGCAAAGGAACAAGAATATGTTTGTTCCTGCACAAGACAATGGTTAGAAGATTTACATTTTCAAAGTTATACTGAAATGGATGTTAGATCAAATATTATCCAAGGAAGACTTATTATGTGTTCATATGTCCCTTTCACTTAACATTCTAAATAGTCACAGGAAAGTACAAACAATGCAGAAATACACACACTGTACGTATAGTATAATCATATTAGTAAGACTCTCCAAGAGAATGTGGTAGTAAAGTCAGCTCTTTACTGTCTCTATTTTGCTCCTTTCCCCATTCTTTACGGACTACATGGAAAATTATTGTCCTTTTGAGAGAAATTAAATGAGGTTCTAACGTAACTACCTTGCCTATTGACTGTAACAATTTAGCAGCATGGTTACCCACAGCAGCAGCATCTTTCTTTGCTTTTTCACGGTATCTGTAAAGGGTAAGAAATAGTTTTAATAGTTTAAACTGTAGTTTAAAGCTACAGTTTTATTTTAAGACCCTAAAATTGAACACTTTTATAACCATTCTTACCCTATCTGTTGTAAACATGAATAAAGTCAGAAGATCAGCTACCTCAGCAGCAGAAGAGCCAATGGTACCAGTCACATGACTGTTTTGCTGTAGCTCTAAGTTACTTGTAGAAGCAGCTTCATAACTCAGTGCACTGGAATGACTTTGCCATTAGTAAGCATTAAAAGGAATATTACTGTGGAAAGTTACAGGGCAAAAAATACTAATTCCTTTCAACAATGAGAGGACCAGCACTAAAGAAAACTTTGAACCAAGTATACTATACAAATACAACTGACCAATTTTTATATTGTATTTTATGATGTTTTAATTATATTGTATTAATTCTTTGGGCAGCAACCCAAGCACCTCAGTAGCAGGACACACTATGAAGCTCAAAGTGCTATACCTTAAATAACAAGGGAACCCAGGCAGACCCATCATATCTGGCCACAACACTTTTACTGAAGGAATATCAGGACTCTCAGAAACCATCCTCAAACCATATGCCACACAAAAGGCCAGCTTCCTCCAAGACACAACTGACTTCCTCAAGAAACTCAAGAATATCAGCAACCTCTCCCAGAACACCATCACTGCCACCATGGATACAGGGATGAAGGTAAATTAAGGGACTTACCGGTACGCAGGAGTCCTGAGCAGGATGGGGCCTCAACTGGAAGAGGTGGGGCCTTTCAAGATTTAAAAGTCCTGGGGCTCCAGCTGTGGCTGGGAGCCCCAGGGCCTTTAAATCACCCCAGAGCTACCAGCTGCAGAGGCATCTGGGAGCCCCGGGGCTCAGGGGCGAATTAAAGGGCTCAGGCTAGGGCTGGGGTAGTGGCGTCAGGGCTCCAGAGGTGATTTAAAGGGCCCGGGGCTCCAACTGCTGCGGGAAGCCCTGGGCCCTTTAAATCCCCGTCGGAGCCCGGCTCCAGCAGCCAGGCTCGGGCGGGGATTTAAAGGGCCTGGTGCTCCTGCCACTGCGGGAAGCCCCGGGCCCTTTAAAGCACCGCCGGAGCTCCGCTGCAGGGCCGGAGCTCCAGGACCTTTAAATCCCCATCCAAGCCCGGCTGCCGGAGCTCCAGCGGTGATTTAAAGGGTCCGGGGCTCCCCGCAGTGGCTGGAGCCCTGGGCCCTTTAAATCACCACTGGAGAAGCCGGTCCAGTCCGGCACGGCGTACCATCTCTTGCCGGTATGCCGGACCGGCTTACTTTCACCTCTGCATGGATGTCATCTCCTTATACACCAACATCCCTTACCATGATGGCATTGCTGCCTGCTTCAAACACCGTACAAGATAATGAACAGTGCTCGAAAATCCAACCCAAACACATCAAACTGATCCATTTCATCTTCACCCACAAGTTTACATTTAACAACAATCACTTTGTCCAAACAATGGGAACAGCTGTGGGTACTAGGATGGCTCCCTAATATACCAACCTTTTCATGGGGCATCTCGAGAAGAATTTCTGGACAAATACACCATAAAACCAATGCTATACCTGAGATATGTTGATATTTTCATCCTCTGGAGAGACAACCTAAACTCCTTCACAGATTTCCACCACAGCTTCAACCACCAAACTCTTTCTAGAAAACCAATACCATACCAGCATCAACTTCCTGAACACCAAGATCAGCTGCAACAATGGAACCCTACAACTGACTATACACAAAAATCCCACAGATTAATACACTTACTTCCACGGAACCAGCAACCATCCCAGACACACCAAGAAGCCTGTTGTCTATAGCCAGGCACTCAGATACCACAGAATTTGCTACAAAGAGAAATTCTGGGATACATATCTAAACACACTTAAAACTGCCTTCACTAAACAATGACATCCCACAAATACCCCTGAAGGAACCTGCTTCAATACAGAAGAAAAAATAAATAAAAAAAACCAAACCCACTGACCACACACCCCTAGCTGTTACCTGCTATCCCACTCTAGAACACATATGGGATATCAAACAATTGATGCTTTTATCAAACAACCCATCTTTGATGGGGACCACATCCTGAAAGAAATCTTTTCCAAATGCCTTCTTCTGGCATTCAAACAACTCACCCGCCCTCAAGCTCATCATCAGAAGCAGGCTTCCCACAGACCAGGACACACCAACTCAAAGCAGCAGCAGACCCTGCCAGAATCCATGAAAAACCTGCAGCCATATCTTCATTGCTACAATGACCAATACCTCCCCCCAACACACCTTTCAAGATCCCTGGGTCACACACACGTTCTTATCACAAAATGTGGTATACCTCATCCAGTGCATTAAATACTCCAGCAGCTATGTGGATGAAACCAGATAATCACTACTCTCTCAAATGAGCTCACAAAGAAAAATTATAAAAGACCCTACAGCCCATGGGCAAAACACTTTTCACAAAATGATCACTCCATATCTGGCTTCTCAATCCTCATCCTCAAAGGAAACCTGCACAACACTTTCAAAAAACAAGCCTAGGAACTGAAATTCATAACTCTGCTGAACACTAAAAACCATGTACTTAACAGAGACACTGGTTTTATGGCTCACTACAACAATTTATAACATCCCCTACTGCCTTCTAATCCTTAATTGCCCACTTCATTTTAAATGGTCTCCAACAGCATGCATGGAAACCCTTATGCTTAACAATTTGTCACCTTGTATTTAGCTCAGACACACTGGTGACTTTCTCCAAACCTGAGGAAGAGCTCTGGGAAGCTCAAAAGGTTGTCCCTTCACCTACGGAAGTTGGTCTAATAAGACATTTCCTCACTTACCTTATCTCTCTCATATCTTAAATAGTTATTTTCTATATTTTTTTTTGGGAATGAATGAAACATTATGCTAATACTCCTTTTAAATATAAACTGAAGCATATCAAGGAATTATTTCTAATTTTACAAAATAGGTTTGTAAAACAATATACGCCTTCAAGAATTTAGAGAACTAAAAATGTCTTTCATACCTATGCAAATCCAATAATTCACTTAATACTTTGCTATGGTTTCATTTTTGCAGGATGAGGCAACAGGTTCATTTTCTCTCTGCTTACACGGAAGAACTCTCACAGGGGGACGCTCTCTCTCCCCCTTCCTCCCAAGGGAAAACATTTTTACAGAATTCCTCCCAAATATATTAAAATCTAATCTACATTATATTTTAATGCCATCTATGACAGTTTCGGGGACATGTCTGTATTGAATTATTAATTCTGTTTTGTTTTATGAATGTCATTTATGATTGCAACTGTTGTTGTAGATTAGTACATCTACTTTGTAGCCAAAGCTATGTCCAGGAAGCTGTGATGGAGCAATCAAGGGCCGCTAACACTGAACAACTTTTTTCCTACTGAATTTGGAGCCTAAAAATTTGCCAGTGGAAGTGCAGCAGGAAGAAAGGTGATAGACTTTTAAAAGAAGGCTGCTTAAAGCATGTGGTGGATGGGCAGTGAACAGGCAAGGAATTCTACTGCCAGAAGTCTAGAAGTCAAGCCCAGGATTCAGACTACACAGAGGAGACTCATAGGGGTCATGAAGTCCCACTGAGGGGCAACGTGTTCAGGACTGTTTGCATTTTTCTCAAGAAACACTAGTGCTGCTTAAAAGTAAGTGTTTATGGTGAAGAACTTCCTTTGCTAAATGTGTATTGCCAATGGGAGGCTGCGAGAAGTGATGGCCCAGCCCACGCCGCTTCCCGCAGCCCCCATTGGCCTGCAACAGCGAACCGCGGCCAGTGGGAGCTGCGATCGGCCGAACCTGCGGATGCTGCAGGTAAACAAACCGTCCCGGCCCACCAGTGGCTTTCCCTGACGGGCCGCATGCCAAAGGTTGCCGATCCCTGCCTCAGACATGCTTAAGAGACCCAGAGGTAAGAACAGTGATCACTTCCCAGAACCAGGGCGCTAAGAGGCATGTGGGCTTCAGCAGTTGGATCCAATCAAAACAAACTGGCGTCCATCCAGATAGGAGGGTAGGACCAGGTTGTAGCACCATCTACAGTCTAATTTTTTTTTTTTTTTTTTTAGAAATGGCTTCTGAGAATTTGGCCCATCCTGTGAAATCTAAATCAATGCCCTCCATTACTATAATGCTGATTGTCTTTGAAGAAGAAACTCAAATACTTACACATTTTGCAATTTGATAAATTTACCCGAATCTGCTATCATATCAGGAATAGTGCCCCGGACAGGTAAATTTCCTTGCCCCTCTTTTGCTACAAATTCTTTTACAGCTCGAGCTAAAATCCAAAAGGACGGCGTCTGCAAGAGTACAAATAGCAGAAATTTATTTTTCTTGTACACAAAAGTATCTGTAATAATATTCCTATACAAACATCTTATCCTTAGTTACTCTTATTACCTGCTGTGTGAGATTGATGCAACGATCATCATTAAAAATGTCTTCAATACAGCTTGGAATCTGTAAGAAAAAACACACACACACACACACACACACACGTATTTACCCAAGTTTCTTATTCAAGAATTGTCCCAAAAGTAATTATGTGGGCAATTCAATATCTAAATAACGTCAAAAGTCATATTTTCTGAACCTCCATGAAAGAATCTGTCCCACTGGCTACAAATACTTTAGGATAAATTACCTCTTTACCATCATATTTAGAAAATGTCAATTGCTAAAAGTGTAGGCTTCTAATTAACTCAAACTTTACACACCAAATCCGGCCTTAGCAACACCCTTGCAATTTCAGTGAAAACTGGAGAGGGTTTAAGATATGGAAACATTTGCCCCCAATGTTAGGAATTACATACATTTAGCAAGGGCATCATTTCAGAAAAATTCTGGGGGCAGGAGGAGGGGGAAATGTGTGTCAGCATACAGACTATTTAGCAACACAGACCAAATAGCAACACAAATAAGAAAAATTGGACAATTATTGCTTTCCTAATGACTGCATCCAAAGTCAGGGGAAAGGAAGAAATATGACTGCCCCCCACCCCATAGCAAATGATGCTCCTGGCATTTAGTTTTGGTAATGTTAATAGATTCTGGTCATGTCCATACTAATATTATTGGTCAAATAGTTTTTGTTCCATCAAACATTCCTTTGGCCCGTCACAAATCAACACAGTATGTTAACTGGAGAGTAGACCAGTTCTGCAGTAACCTGAGGTTTGCTAATACATGTGAGTTGGACATGTCTTTAAGAAAAGCGTAACGCCTCAAGTACACATATAATGTTTGTTACAGGAAATCCATAACCCTCTAAAAACTTTCTGTAGATCTGTTGATTTAGGTTAAGAAAGAACTGGTAAGTTTTATGCAAATGAATACTTTACATTTAGTAAGAGTTGTAAAATTTATTTCACTCAATTCTTTTAAACACTCATGTTCACCATAAGTTATACTGTGGAAATGCTTTTGACACTGATTTGAAAGACTGTGTTCTACTATCTGACTTCACTAAGTATTTTTAATGAATTTGTGCTCCTTGCTGAGGAGTTAAGGCCTTTAACATTAGTTAATCAGCAGAGCTTAGAAGAAGGAACATTTCTCTGATACAAACACCCAATTTTCATAAAAAATGGTCATGCGATGATATTGATATCCAAAAGTAAGCCTTACTCTTCTTAACACATCCGGACCATTAAAAAAAAATTAGTTAATGCAGTGTTTATGAAAGTGAAGAAAGAATAGTTTAGCAAGTGGCTCCAATCAGGCAGTGTGTGGACAGGTGCTTTGTACGTTTCCCCAATACAACTGTGCCATTGTATTATAGCCCAACTGGAACTACCCTCTTGTGCACATACTACTAGTCCTGCCAAGTTGTTCCAAAATGTTTGTTTGGTTTATAAAGAGAATAAGAGGAGGTCATCAAAATAACTGACTGTAGATCTGCTGCGGAATTTTTGTTCTGAAAAAACAATGATACTATCAAAAGATACATGGTCCCCTTAGCTCTTCAAATGCATTATGTTCATCATTTAAAACTTAATAAACTACTTTTACCTTAGTAACATTTAGTGCTGTGTTTACATTTTTTATAGCTTCTTCAAAGTTCTCTTCATCTTCTGGGATCCCATTTTCATTCTTTAAGATTCCTGTTTGAAAAGAAACAAATAACACAAGCAATAATACAAACTCCGCCTCCCACATTACATTTATGTCCTGGCAACACATCAGATTTTCTCTTGGTGAATCTGTGACATATCACTGTTCTAGTTCTGTCATCACAAAACATATATACATCACCACATTAAGAGACAAAAATGGCTACCTTCTCCCTCATCCATGTGTACAAATACTTTCATATGGTATTAAAAATACTTTGCACTCATGACGTCTTCCATCATAAGATCTCAAAGTTCATGTTATGAACATTATTGAATTAAACGTCAAAATGTATAGGATGTAAGGAAAATGCTATCACCAGTTTTACAGATAGGGAAACTAAGGCACAGATGGATCATGTGATTTTCTCATGATTATATAGAAGTTTGAATCAAAGTCTGTAACAGAATCCAGAGGTCCTGAATTTCTGTCCAGTGCTTTAATCACTATACAGATATAGATATATGAGACCACGTACAACTGTTTCTTTATCTTATACTTATCAAAATACTTCTGATATCTGTAAAGTGACTTTCAGGTTATGAAACACTGAAGCTCTCCCTTTACTTGACACAAAACAAAAATATAGTTGAACATAAGTAACAGGAGATAAGGAAATGTTACTGACTGTAAATATCATTGTTAAAATTACTACGGTTTCACTTTAATACAACTGTTGAATAGAGTACTTACTCTAGGCTGCAGCAAAATCCAATTAGCATAAAATGCTGCACTTCAGTTCTATTAGAGAGCCAATCTTTATTTTAATGCAAATAAATAATTTCTTGAATAATTTACAGTGATGTAAATAGGATTTAGATATCAAGAGAAAAACAAATCCGTTTGTTTGTACCAGAAATTAAGTCTGTTCATAACTGGAAATAACACGGCCTTGTTTCTTTGGCAACCTAAAATGCTTTATTTACATTTCTTTTAAAAATACTCTGTACATTTTCATGCTTGTGAAGGGTGCTAGATTGACAGCCCTTAACAGCGAAGTCCTCCATCCAAAGACTAATTACAATATGGTCACTAGATATGTACATTTCCCCATGCTACCCGCTAATGGGTGTCTCCATAGAATCACCACCTCTAGGGCTGAGAAAGTAATTCAACCTCCATGCTCATCTTAATCCTTGACCTTTCTGCTGATGCTGTTAAGAAAAGAATAACTTTGGAACTGATCTGTACGTGTGCATAAGCACCCACATGCATGTGCAAGCATGAGAGATGTGGACACAACCATTTGAAAATGAAATGGGTACAAACTTATTTCACATTGGCCCATCAGCCAACAAATATTTTCAGGCTGTTTTTATACCAATGACATAGCCTCTTAATTCCACTAATAAGGAAAACCCAGATCCCTACTTTAGCAAAATTTTAATGTTTGGAAAACATAGCTAACTTTGCTTAAGTTAGCATTTGTCTTTTCTTTAAAGAACTGCAATAGAATGAAGGTGCTTGCCTTTGCTTAGAAAAAGAAACAAGTATTACCAGATGGCTTCATAAGAAGACTCAGGATCCTAAGACACACCAATTCAAGAAATCATGAATCTGCATTGATGTAAGTTCAATTTCAAGCCACAGTGACAAGTTATGCCTTGTATGTCTTTTCATAGTGGCGGAAATGCCCATAACATATATTACCTTGTCTAATCAGCTCTCTGAAGGCTTCCTTTTCTTTGTAATTCCTAGGTATCTGCTCACTTTTCTAAATTGAAAGTATAAATAAAAGATAGATTAATATATAAACAATTATGCTGTCACATGACTACCTTCTAGATCAGGGGTCGGCAACATTCGGC